AATAGGTTCTAAAATTTCTTTCCCTTGAGAGTTGGTTATGTTACCAGTGGTATTTGCATGACAACAGCTTCCCCCTCTCATCTGCCTCTCCAAATTAGTCAACACGTTAAGTCAAAAATCTGCCATACTGCAATCACTGATTTTCACAGAAATTGGTTGCTCTGACACAAGAAAAGAAAAAAAAATTGAAAAATGAGAAAAAAATGGAAAAAACAAAGTGTGTGCAGCATACAAGGAGAAAGTTATTTCTTGTTTTGTGAAAGCTCTACCCAGACCCTACCCCTCCCCATCACCACAGTGGGCATCCAGTGCCAGCCCCAGCACTGACACCCCTTCGGCTCGAGAGCACAGAGCCCACAGCCCCCAGGGCTCTGCCACGGCTTCAGCCCCTCGTGGTGGCCCACGGCAAGCAGCACTGCTCAGCTGCAGCACCGGAGGAAGCTCCCGGGGAAGAACAAGAGGCAGGAGGATGGAGGAAGGTCTGTTGTGCAATGAATCGTTCCGAGTAGAAGTCGGCTATTTTTATGCCTTGCGATTAGATTCTGAACTCTTTGAATCATCATTAATGCAACGCCCTGGAGGCCGGCAGCCCCCCTTGCTGAATGCCACATGAAGTGTTCCTGCTAATTCAGGGAACATTTGAAATCAGGCGTGTAGGCAGACCTACGTCACCTACAGCACAGTATACAATTTTTTAAGCTTCTAGAGGCAGGGTGAGGGGAGTCGTTTTTCTTGTGCAGGTTGCGAATCACTTCTTCCTCATCTAGCTAGCTATTAGCACGCTGCCAGGTTTCTATATATAAAAGCCACCCCTGTGTTCACAGCCAGCTAGAATGGCTGAGCTGAGGTTTACGTGGGAGATGACGGCGTGTGGGGCCATGGCAGAGCTGATGGGCAGAGGGCACGACAAGGCAGCTCTGGAGTGCCTGCAGCCCACCAGGGGTTGGTTCCTGGGCAGGACTTGTGCCTGAGCAATCCTTCATGGCCAGCCCTGCCTCAGCAGCCAAGCTTTCCTCAAAGGTTATGATGGCAAGAAGTTCCTGACCTAAATGAGTCTATGGTTTTCACTGTATGCCAGCCAGGAAGCCTAGTCTCCGACTGCTTGCGGACATCACCTGGGCCAAGGTCTGGTTGTTGGGTGTCTGATGCATTTATTGGTGGTACGTTATGTTTAAAGTCAGGATGTGACTGGTTAACGTGGCAGAGCCAAGCTGTCCCAGGAGCCGCCCACCGCAGCAGCTTCCTTCTGCTCTTCAGCAAGGATGAAGCTCCTGGGCTGGCATGCAGGGTACAGCTTTGGTGTTTCCATAGGGAACAAGTCTGGAAACCGTTGGAAAGCCCTGCTGCTGTAATTCCCACTGTGTGGAGGCATGGTGGGAAGGAACAGCTGGTTCTTCAAAGTCTGTTGCAGCACAGAGTCCCAGCAGAGAGGCTGATTAGACCAGTGGTTCCAAACATGGCTGGTATGATGTGAGCGACGGGCAAGTAACAGCCTGCATGTAGTCTCCAGTGGTCAGTGAGAACCTTCTGCTGCCATCTCCTTGCCAGGGCAAACCAGGAGTAATTTCTATGGGGAGATGGAAATGAACCTGTGTCCACTGGGCAGCTGTCCTTCTGGAGATACGGCATACAGTCCGGGGGCACACCTCCAGAAGGACATGGAGTTCATCTCCAGAGATGAGGGGCAGGAAGGTGTCTGCTCCGTGAGGAGGGCAGGCAGGACAAGACATCACAAGCTGGAGCTGCCACCAGAGGCATCCTGGCTGGATAGCAGTAACTTCAGAGGTGTTAGAGGATTGCAAAGATAGACAGCTATCTCCAGGGCAGCTCTTTGGGCTTCTTTCTGAGGTGACATTTTGACATTTTCCCTCTCTGTAACTTTCTGCCAGGAGTTACAAACCATAATTGCAAGGACTCACGTCACAGTAATTCAGCAAGCACAGCCTGGCTGCTGGGTGGATAAGCAGCCAGAAGCTGGGCAGGCGTGTGGGAGCAAGGGCAGGAAAGAAAGCTAGGGAAAGCGTGCTTAGCTGGGATGCACACTGCACTCGGCTCCTCTTCTCCATCTGCTCGCTTTTGTTTATCCCCTGCTCTGTCCGGAGCTCAGGCCAGCCTAATCTCTTTGCTGTTAAAAAGAGACTGGCAAGCAAATATTTGCACTCAGTGGAGGATCTCTTACAACAGCAGAGGCTTTTCAGCTCACAGGGAAGATGGGATTCAGTCTTCCTGAAGCAGAGCAAACCATCTCCCACCAGCTCCAGCAGCCCCCAGCCTAGCCCCATCTCCCAGCATGGCAGAGGGGCACAGCAGTCATGGGCCCTACAGGTGGGAGCAGTTGGCATTGCTCTGCCAGGGGAGGAGAGGACTCCCTGCTGAGCAGGAAGCTTCTTCAGGCAAAGCTATCACCTGCCTTATTTGAAATCTCATCTACTATTCACTCTTGGGAGCTGCAGTTGGGATGCTGCAAACAGGGACTGTAGTGCTAATGTTGCAAATCATGCCCAAGACAAAGTAGACCCCTTTGGGACACACAGGACACGTCAGGTCATCTGCTGCACATCAGAGACCTCCGAGCATCAGCAAAAGTCGTGGGAAAGGGAAGGGGAACACAAAGAAATAGGCTGAGGGGAAGGAAGGTAATGGGCCACGCTGCTTCCCCTGGGCTCAGGGATGCATCTTCTCCACACAGCTGTTATGAGCATCTCGTAAGTAGGGCCTTCCCCTGTCAGACTGTGCTGAGGGTGTGGTGGGATGTAGCAGGGACCAGGCAGCTGTCCTGGCAGACTGCCCTTGCTCAGTTTGTGAGCTGCAGGGTCATGGATTTGGAGATTTAATTTCCAGCTTTATTATCCTTCCAAATTAAAAAAAAAAAAGAAAAGAAAAAAGGTGGGAGAGAGGCTTGTTGAGCTTTTTCTTCCCCCACCTCATGTCTCAATGAAGTGCCAAGAGTTGCAGAGAGTAATTGAAATGCAATGAAAACAGTTTAATCCATCTTAAAGGGAAATCAGCTCACAGGGGATGCAGCAGCAGCCACAGCAGAGTGGGCTCCAGCAGATGGGGAGCCACAACCACTCCAGCAGACCCATGTCCTGACCCACGCATGCCCAGCCTGGAAGCTGTGCCCCACTGAGCAGCTGACAACAGGTGAAGGGATGCCCGAGGCAAGCAGGACAGAATCAGATTGGCTGTTCACCTTGCAGGAATTTGAAGGAGGAAATTGAACTCTCTGCCATATAGAAGTGACTGTCCGCACTCAGCAATAACAGTAGGAGTAAGGGTGCTCCCTGGCCTCCCCTGCTCCCTGCCCCCCCATCCCTTTTGTTTTCATCCTTCCAGCCCCTCATACAAACTTCTCTTTTCCTCCCTGTCCATTCGTCCCCACAGTCCCTCAGATTTACCTCCCTGTCTCTCTGCTCCCTGAGCCTTCCCCAAGCCAAGCTGCCCCCTGGCCCCTTTTCCCTTGCAAACTAGGCTCTTTTCTTCTTCTTTCCTTTTCCTTTTCCTTTTCCTTTTCCTTTTCCTTTTCCTTTTCCTTTTCCTTTTCCTTTCCCTTTCCCTTTCCCTATTCCTTTTCCTTTTCCCTCCCCTCCCCTCCCCTCCTTCTTTTTTTTTCCTTCTAGAAAATGGGGGTTATGTTTCCCCTTTTCCAATCAGTGTGAACTTCACCAGGCTGCCACAACCTCTCAAATATGATAGCAGCTTGGCAACCTCATCTGCCAGTTCCCTCAGAACCTGTGGATGGATCTTGTCTGGTCACACGGACTCGTGCTCCTTCAGGTTCCTTAGATGGTCTCAAACTTGATCTTCACCTGCAGCAGCCAGGTCTTCCTCCTCAAATTTCTTACCTTTGCTTTCCACAGCTTGGGCAAATGTGGCTAGAGCCCTTGGGATTTTTACACCTGTAGTATGCTTCAGTGTATTCTAGTTGCCTTCAAACTACACTCAGTTGAAAATAAGAAACTAAACTAAAAGGTCAAAGGAAAAACAACTTAGTTTATACACTACATGATTTCAGTGAGGTTTTAAGTATGGGAAATCTAATCACTGATTTTCTTTAAGCTACCCCAGAAGAGTTGGTCTTATCCCCCTGTATAGCCCCGCACAGATGGGAGTCAATCAGAGACAAGCAGGATGGGGTCAGTGCACCTTGGTGCATCCTTCTGCTATGCAGATTAGTCACAGCCAAATCTCAGAGCCTGTCCCCTCCACCAGCGCACAGGGATGCCTGTACCTGCTGCATGCTATGGTGACGGAGGAGCACCATAGCAAGAGACAGCCAGCCAGGACAGCACAGCTCCACCAGGAGCAATGCAGCAGGGCAGAAAAGATCAACTGAGCAGAAAGCAGCTTCTCAGGTCAGGCTCTGAGAGCTTAAAAACACCTCTGCTCTCATCTGAGCTACTGAAACATTTTCCTTCGGGGTAAAACATGCCATAAACCCCAGTGCTTGTCAGAGATGAGACGTTTGACATCATATTGCATTAGCGCAGCTGCAAGCAACACAGAGCAGGGCTGCCAGCTCCCCTCGGAGATCCAGTAACTACAGAAACACAAAACATAATGCAGCAGGACTGGACGTTCAGCGCCTCGCTTCCCTTGGCTCGTGCAAGGCCCATGTGTAGTATCTGACAGCAGGTTTTTCTTCAGCCCCCTGAACAAATGGGACAGGAGCAGTGATTTGCTGGCAGTAGCTCTGCTATCATTTGTTATGCTGGCTGAGGAAGGCACACCATTAAAATAAACATATCCTCTACTTCTGTGCCCTGTAATCTCCAGTCCTTGGTTCTCACATCGCTTCTCCTCCCCTCCTGCTGTACAGTCTCTCTCTTGTCCTGTTTTTCTCTTCCAACCCTTGACCTTGGGACATTTGTTTTTAGAGCTGGGACAGCCCTTGTGAGGTTGCCACAGTAAGGAATGGGCTGCCAAGGAGCTCTTCAGCACACTCTGAGCATTTCTCTTCTTTCTCCAGGTGCAGAGAAGTGTGGGGGAACAGGGTTGGCACTCACACAAAGGCTCTGCTTGCACCATCCGTGAGCGATGCTCTAGAAAACAGTGGGACCATGAAGGGCTTAGGAGACAACAGAAGCCGCCACCTCTCTGATAACCTGGACTCCCCTCAAGACTCTCTTTATGCCCCCCAGGACAGGAACCCATATCTCCTCAGCCCCACTGACTCCTTCACCATGGAACCTCGATTCCCAGCCCAGAACACCCTCCATGGTGACTGTCTCCTTCCACTCAACAACCAGATCTCCAATAGCAGCACTTTCCCCCGCATCCATTACAACTCCCACTTTGAGGTCCCAGATGAGAGCCCTTTTCCAAGCCATGCCCAAGCCACCAAAATCAACCGCTTGCCTGCAAACCTCCTTGACCAGTTTGAGAAACAGCTGCCCATCCACAGAGATGGCTTCAGCACCCTCCAGTTTCAGAGGAGCGATGCAAAACACCGGAGTGAAAGCCCTGGGCGGATCCGGCACCTTGTCCACTCCGTCCAGAAACTATTTGCCAAGTCCCAGTCTCTGGAGGGCCCCACCAAAGGCAATGTGAACGGTAAGAAAGGGGCTGATGACCCCAAGCAGAACCGAAGGAGCAAGAGCAAAGACCGAGTAAAGACTTCCGAGCCCAAGCGCAGGACCAGATCCAACATATCAGGCTGGTGGAGCTCAGACGACAACTTAGACAGTGACACCTGCAGCTACCGCAACCCAATGGGCCTCATGACACTGGGCCGGCAGCCGGACCACAGCCAGCCGAAGTACTTCATGCATGCTTACAACACCATCAGCGAGCACATGCTGAAATCCTCCAAGAGCAATAACGACCTCAAGGTCACCCCTTGCACCAATATCCCCATTAACAATGACTCCAACTACATTAAGAGGGGCTCCTGGTCCACGCTGACACTCAGCCACGCTCGGGAAGTGTGCCAGAAGGCCTCAGCCACAATCGACAAAGCCTTGCTGAAATCCAAGTCCTGCCATCAAGACTTGGCCTACCACTACCTGCAGGTGGGTGCAGAGAGGGGTTACGGTTTGCTTCATGCAGGAAAACAAGAAAGCACCCTCTGGGTGGGCACCCTATTGCCCAGCAGGCCTTATCAAACAGCACCAGACTGATGTTTCAGCAGCCACCCCAAGTCACATTGCCAACATTGGGCTGGGGGGACACAAGTGTAAATCCCCCAGACCCCAGCTGTGCTCAGGGACAGACGTGCAGAGACGTGGCGCTGATGGGGTCGGGCTGCAGCAAGCTCCCCCAGGCCCTGTGCAGTGCCAGTGGGAGATGTGGTGCCCATGACAAGGGCAACCTCCAGCCCCCTGCTCCCCACTTCACAGCAGCTACAGCACCTGCTGCTGTGACCAAAGTTTGCTGGGGGATCCCCACATGCCAAACACGTCCCACTGCCCTTGCAGACCCTGCAGCCACCGTGGCCAGGGCAAATCCAACACTCAAGCACAGCTTCTGCTGGGTGCCCAGGCAGCTGGCTGCATCCCACCAGTGCAGGATGGCTCCTGGCCTCTGGCCGAGCGCTGCCATCATCCCACAGCCCAAAGGACGCCAGTAATAACTGATGTTAATCCCTTATATCCATGTGTTGCAAGGATGTGCCAGCACGCCCTGTCAGCCCCACTCCGCAGAGCTTCCCTGGAGTGCTGGTAGGACCTGCAGCTCAGCGGGGCTCGGCTCCCACTGCTGCTCCTCCTTGGGGCTGCACGGCAAGGAGAGCAGTGCCAGCCGCCTGGCTTGCATGGCAGGGCCTGCATGGCTAGTGCTGCGGGCCGCAGGCTTGAATGCCCGTCATGGGGAGCGCCACATCGCCGGGGGTTTATAAAGCTGCACCTGAAGAACATAAATCTGGCTGTGCCTAGGAGAGAGGAATGAAGACAAATAAACCAGGCCTGGATGGGGAAAGCAGGGGGTGGGATGATCAGGTGGGCTACCTGATGTAAATCTCTAGCGTTCTTTTCTAATGCAAAGGTGTAATCGGCTCTCCTGGCTGCAGCCAGCGGGCTTACAAGCTGTAAAGAGCCATGAATTATTGAAGCACAAACTGCTGCTCATATCTGGGTGGTTATTGCTGCAAATCAAATTATGGAGAGACTTGCTGTATCAGAAATGTCGTCGGAGACACGTCCTTGGCCTGGTTTTTTTTCTTTGTCCCCTCCTTTCAGTCAGGAGCATTAAGAGCTGCAGAGCCCCTCTGTGTGTGGCAGCAGGGCTGGCATAGGAGACCCCACAGCCACCATGCAGTGCTCACTCCCCCAGTGGGGCCAGGCCCAGTATGAGACAGCCCTGCTGGTTTGTTCCCCACCCATGTAATGAGCCTCCGTTTCTTGACAGCCTGACGGAGGGCTGTGGGCACAGCTGGGTGGCGTGAGCCCGGCCAGCAGCTGGGCAGCCCCACCGCTCGGCTGGGAGGACACGGGTGCCGCCCCACTGCCGCCGAGCGAGCCCCCACGGAGGTGGGACCAGCCCCTGAGCCCCGGGCCGACCGACGCAGGCAGCGGCCAGGTAGGGAACTTGTTCTGAGGGAAAGCTTTTGCCCAGCTCCCTCCCCTCCCTGACCCTCCTGGAACCATCGGATGGGGCCAGCAGCCCCTACCACAAGGCCGGGCAGGGCACAGAGGCGCCACACCAGGCACCAAGCCCAGGAAGATCAAGAGCAATGCGGGACTCAGCAGGCGGGGCAAAGGACTGCAGCCTGGGGCGGTTATGGCAGTTACAGACAGCTACTCATCTGGGAAGGGATCTAAGCCAGATGTGGAGAAGTCACCTCCAGCATTTGGTAGACAGCGTGTAGGAAATGTTCCTCTGCAAGAGGACAGGTCCCCTGACAGCTCCCATTCCTGCAGTGGCGACAAGACAGATGCTTCTACCTGCTTGCAGGTCCCACACACGGGAAGTGCAGGGCAGCCAGCTCTGCTGCTGCGGAAATGCTCTTTTCACCCAAGTACGCGAACAGTAGGTTGGGGACAAACAGATCCCCCAGCCCCCAAACTGGGGTAAGACTACAAGGTTTTTCACTTTTCCTGTACCAGTTGTAGGCTCTGGAAGGCTTGGGGCTCATCAGGGACAACTGGGACTCTTTGTGATTGTTCAAGTCCTATTCCAAGAGCCAGTTGTGAGACCTAAGAATGGGTGATTGCTCAGCTCCACTCAGGTCTAGCCAGGTGCCTCAGAGGGGGGGTTGTGTGGTGCAAAACTCAAGGCGAAGACCTTGGAGAATGACTGGAGCACAGCTCTGAAGAGATAGAGTTTGAGCTCCTGTCTTCTCTGTGGGACTTGTGCGTGACTGCTGGCAGCCAGAGCCCAAGGAGGTCTCTGGAGCCAGAGATGGCCTGGGCCATCGGCAGGCAGGAGCAGGAAGAGCTGAGCAACCTCTGCCCCGCACACAGTTCAGCCTCATCTGGGCAGTGCTCTCAGCTGCAGACAGCCCACTTCTGAGCAAGGGAAGGATCCATGCTGCCCGGGCACCTCTGTGACCCTCAGTGCAGCCAGGGGGCACACAGGGATGCTGCAGCCATGTCCAGGCCTTGGGTCATTTTTCTCTCATAGTTGTCTCCCAAAATAAACAGTGAGATGGCTGCATTGTGGCTGTTCTCAGCTGTGAAAAGGGGCCATGGTCACAGCACCAGCGGCACAGCCCCTGCCTCTCTGGTGCTCCCACGGGACAGGGCCACACCACCAGCACTGTTAGCCTGGAGCTTCATTTAGATTTGCCTCCCCAACCCCATCAAAGCTTCCGCAACTCCCCAGTGGCCCCAAATATGAATTGGCAAGACAGGGTGGGCAGCCCACTGAGTGCCAGTCACTGCCATGAGAGCTTCCAGAGGGAAGGAAGTCCAGTCCAGGTTGTCCCCAAAGTGCTCCTCCCTAGAGGCCAGGTAGGACACAAGTAGCCTGGGCTCCAGCTTTCTTTCTTGGAGACATGTCTGATGCTACACGTAGCCCTCAGGACACCATGAGGACCAGCTCCAGAGGGAGCAGCACTGTGCCCTCAGCGACCTCCTTCTTGCATTGCAGCCTGGCTGCATGGCACATGCATCCCTGCACACTGTGCCCAGCTCTGCGGGGCCTCAGCGGGTGTGCTCACCTTGGGTGCATGTCCACGTGTCCTGGGATGGGGCTGCATGTTTGAGCTGGCTTATATGTGAATGGGAACACTGCTTGCTCTGTAAGTCTCTCTACCCCATTCCCACCAAAGTTATAGGAACAGCACAGCTCTTTCACTCCCACCTTGGAGGTGGAATTTTTTTCTTTGCTGCGTGCTCCCTTCTACTAAGGCTCTTTTAGGGAAAAATCCCTGTGTGGCACCTTCTTTCGTGTCCCCTCCACACTTAGCTCATGATACTAGGGACAGATTAACCAGAAGGCACTGCTGTTTTACAACATGCAGCACTGCACAGAATACCAAAGGAGCCCAGCTCTCAGGGACAGAAAAGTGGCTGTGCTAAGGGGCACTGTGCAAACCAGACAGAGAGGAATCTGCACCCAGAGCCTGGCAGATCCTCGCTGTCCATTCTTCCCCCCGTGCAGCTGTCTGGGCAGGGTGGATCCCAAGCCCCTGTGGCCAGTGGCCACTTGCAAGGGCTGTGGACCTGGGCACTCTCGTGCTCCCACACCTTTCACAGCAACCAAACCACCACAGGCACAACAAAGTCTACATTTGGAAAAACAGCAGGAGAAACCAGCCAACAGGGAACCCCAAGTTTCTCCATGCCAGGTTTAAGTGTAACATATCAGCTCTCGTTTCATCTTTGTCCTGTGGACGAGAGATCCTGCTGTCAGTCACTGTCAAGGTCTGTCCCTGGATAACAGGAAATGCTCTCGGCTCTCCATCCCCTATTACTTAAGAGTCTGAGACAGGCTCTTCGAGCCCTCAGGTGCCTGAAGATGCAGAAGAGCACCCAGCAGGATGCAGAATGGGCACCTCTAATACCTGCTCCACTTCTGAAGATCCCCAAGGACACCTGCTTGAAATGCTTGTTCTGCACTCTGGCCTGTGGGCAGTAAGAACAGTGGGAGGCCCCATTCTCTCTTCATCCCATATGTGGGACGAACTCCAAACTGGGGCACTAGAGTCGAAGGGTGTCCTGCCAAGCATCGTCCTTTCCCTTGGAAACTGAAATGTGGAGCACCTTGGGAGCTTCTTTGTTTCTGGCACCAAGCTTGCTGCCTTGACAAGGTGAGGGAAAGGAGAAACAAGGCAGCTGAGTTAGGACCAGACGGCTGTCCTCACAGGGAAGCTGCTTCGGGCTGTCTCGAGGAGAGGCCTGTGTCCTAGCTCTGCTAGGGGCATGCACTGCTCTGGGATGCTCAGCTTACACCGGCCCAGGAGCTCTGATGGCAGGAATGTGTGACCCATCCTCAGGCAGCACAATCCAGTCTCAAGTCAGGCCCGACACCAAGGCAGTTCAGTCGGCACAGGGGCACTTCCCAGGGCCGCTGTGATGCAGGTCGGCCAGGGACTTCTATTGCACAGCAAGGACTCATCCAGCAGGCCCCTCCTGGCTGGCCTTGGGGCCACTCCTTGCAGACAGCTATGCTTGGGCAGAGAGCTCTCACACCCAGGAGAGAAAGGAATCTTCTCTTACTTTGTAGAAGCCTGTGGGTTATACCCCTGTAAGCTCCAGAGCTCACAAGCAGCCAGACCAGAAGCCACTCTGAACAGGAAGATTGCAGGAGGCAGAGTGGGAAAGAGCTGTACGACCCTGCTGCAGCAGGGGGGCCTGGCAAGGTCTGTGTCTCACATATGGACCTGCACTACGTTGGTCCCCACCTAGAGCTCCACCACCAGCAGTGCGATGCCTCTGGCTCTCTGCACTGTGTCTCCCCATTAAAACCATTCCTGGCTCAAGGGTACCCTTCCTGCCTTTCTCTTGCACAGCCAGCCCACACTGGTGCACTCTCTAGATGCATAAAAAACCAGCAGAACAGACTGCTGATGGGGGAACCCCTTAGGAGTTATAGGATTGTATCACCAGTGGGATCCGACAGGTTGTGAGAGTTCTGCACAGACACAGCAAGCACCCGGTTGTGGAGTAGGGACTGAACTCCCGACTTCATTAGGTCAGAGTGAGAAAGGCTGCTATGAATGTCTGAGCCCACATCTTGACACCCTGCCTCTACCTGCAGCTCTGCAGCCCCAGGATGACACTGCATCCCAGCAGCTGCAGGCAGCGCACACAAACCAGCCTGCTGCAAATAAGGAGGGGAACAGGAACAGAGTGGTACTTAGCATCTCCAGCTGATGACAGTTAGCTGCATTCCCAGAGCACTAGATAAAAACTGGCTGATTAATCCTACAGCCCCTCAGGGAGTTGGGTAAATCCAACAGCTCTGTCAGCAAAGTAAATGTGGATGCTCTCACCAGCACAAGCTGGCTCAGCACACAGCTGCTCCCCACTGGTGCTCCGCAACCAGCAGCTGCCTGCAGCAGGCTGGGCAGCCTCAGGTTGCCCTGGTCTCACACGCTCCTAAGTGAGGATCTCTTTCTGAGCCTGCAGTTTCTGGCTTTCCCTCACCATCCGTCTCTGGATCTGTTACAGCTGCAGGCAGTGCAGTGGGCAGTTCTGCAGGGTGCTAGATGTACCGATAGCCACAGCTATCCTGTGCTGAGGAATGCTCTTGCTGTCCTCAGGCTCGCCTGCCCTTCTCTTGCGCAGACAGCCCATACTGTTGTACCCCCAGTAGGCAAAAACTGCAGAACAGATTGCTGGTGAGAGAACCCTGTAGGAACAATTGCTTCAGTCCTTTCTTCATCCCCCTCTTCTTATCCTAAGGACTGTTTAAGGGCCAACCAGAAACCAAGCTAGCCACAAAAACAGGACTTGCTCCTGTCAGCTCCAGTTGCCCCATCTTTCTCTTGGCCTGTCTGCATGTGGTCTTGCCTTGTTCTGCCTTGGGCTAACATCTGGCTCTTCTGCTGGTCCAGAGCCCTGCCTGTGCCACTGGCAACCTATGCAAACCACAAACCCTTTGCAGGGCAGACAGGCAATGGTATTAGTTGATCTGACCAGAACTTCAGGCCTTGTGGAATGCATTAGCTTGACCATCTCTACTGAGAGAACAAGAGGCTGTGTCTGCCTTAAATTGATGACAGAGTTCCCACAATTAGAAAGGTTAGAAATGCTTTCGTTGCAAGGTACTCCGCATCTCCGTGCAGCGACCAGCACAAAGCTTACATTCCCTAGCTGCTCCAGGGCTTGCGAGGGCCTGGCTTGGCTGCCAAAATGAATTTCAGACACTGAGAGTCCCATTCAACTTACAAATCTTGGAGGGAGGATTGGACTCTGGTCCATAGGCTCTGATCTGTGCAGCTATTACTGGCTTTGGCCTGAACAATGTGTATGCTTTACTTTAAGTAAGCATGGGCTTTGTGTTAAACAAATGTGTGCCACTCATGTCCCAACACGCAGCGTAAATCTGGTGAGGCTCTTCCCTTCTCATTGTGTCTGGCATTGTGCAGCTTGTATCAACTGTGTAAGCATGGTCCAGTGGTCATCGAGTGAACGTATGTGGGTACATGCGCTGAAATTGAGGCAAACAAACATAAGACTGCCTGGCATGAGCTGGCAAGGGAGGGTTGGAAAGGGATCGCGTTGCCCATTCCCACTATTCTCCAACTGAGGCTACTACAGTCGGCCTTGCCATCAATCCCCTGAGTCCCCAGGGTCCCTCTGGTCCCAGAGATTCTGTCCATCACTGCTCACGCTCCCTTTACTCTTGCAGGTGCCTCAGGGGGAGTGGAACAACACGCTGTCTCGGGACAAAGACAGTGAGATCCCATGCCGGCGCATGCGGAGCGGGAGTTACATCAAAGCCATGGGGGATGATGATAGTGAAGACTCAGAAAGCAGCCCCAAACCATCCCCAAAAACTGCAGCTCGGAGGCAGAGTTACCTCAAGGCCACCCAACAGTCCCTGAGTGAGCAGAGCACCACCCAAAGGTAACTGGAGCTCCTCTGAGAGCTCTGCATGTGTCCCTGGGGGCCATGCTGGAAGCCATCCTTGGGATTTGGTCAGCAGCACTGCTCAGAGACCCCATGTGGGGAGCAGAGCCCAGCAGGTCTCCCTCACACGCGCTGCAGCTGGCCATGGGACAGGCAGAGCATGACAGGAGAAGATGTGGCAGAGGAAGGAGAGAGTTTGCCATCCTGGTGACTCCAAACAGCCCTCTGCAGGTCCCCCAGTGACAGGGAGGGCCCTCCTTTGGTGGTACTGTGTGGGTTTTCTCTGGCTGAGGGTCTGCTACTCCAAGGAAGTGTGGAGATCACAACCCAAGGGTGCTGTCTAGACATGGAGATGCTTAGCCAGCATGGCTGACTACATGTGGCACACAGGCCACACACTGCTGCAACTGTGCCATCTGCTTTGCTCCACAAGCATCCCAAGGCCTCTGGGACCAGTCAGAAAGGGCCTGTTTTGCGCACCAGACTGAGTAGTCCCCTGAAGTTGGGAGAGATGAGCTAAGAGCCCTGGGTCCATGTATGGAGAGAGGAAGACCCTGCATTTTGAGCCAGAGAGACAGCAGAGCAAAGGCATCACAGCAAGCACACTGAGTGAGGGGCTGTTCCTCCCAGAATGGGGTTTGTGTGACGCCAGGACAAGGCATCTAGGGGCTGTGATGGGCTGCGAGTCCCTCTGTGCTGCAATCAGATGTGAGCAGCACCGGGGCAGGAGGCAGGAGCAGCTGTACTTGAACTGCTCACTGTTCATCAGATGGAGCCAGAAAAGCAAGGCAGCAGCAGGTAGTCTGGAGACCCTTTGTGGTCCATCAGGCTGGAGCCCAGATGCTGCTTTCTGGTGGTAGACGGTGATGAAAAATAACTGACACTCAGGTTCTTCCTGTCTTGGGCTAATTGTCCATTCAGGTCGTGCCCATCAGAGCGTGAAACTTCATCAGGACTGCTGGGGTCCAGCACCCGGCTGGCCTGGAGTGCAAGCACGACTGCCATCTGCTGACCACCCTTTCACTCTGCCCTCCCCCCGCCCCCAGAAAGCTCTCTGGAGATGTGGCCACGCAAGTTGGTGCAGAGCCACACTGGTGGGACAGAAGCTGGAGCAGAGCAGTGGCCCCACACCCCATCGTGGCCGCACGCCTCAGTCTCCTCAGCTAGAGCCACTGAGCCCCATCCTGGAAAGGAGACTTCTGCTCCTCCAAGGCCCACTGCCTGCTCTGTGACTCGGTTTCTCCACAGGCAGCTGATGAGGGTGGATCAGAGTGAAGCCAGGAACAAGTTGCTCAGTGGGTGGTCGAGCTCAGCAGCAGTTTCCTGTAGGGATGGTGTCTCCTCCATCACCTGGGAGAAGAGGCAACTCCTGTGTCCATCACACTCCTGAATGAAGGCTCAGGAGATGCCATCATCCTTCCTGCAGGTCTGCCCAGTCAGGAGACAGCCTGTAAGCTCCCTGGATGCAAAGGGCAGACCTCCTGCGCCCCACAGCCCCCCAGGTCTTACCCCCACACTGTTCTTGTGGGGACTACAGGTGGCTCACAGGGCAGAGTTGCTGCAGTTCACCCCTCACCACACCTGCCTGTGCCTTGCTGCATGCTCCAGAGCCCTGGCAGCCCACACAGACCACACACACGTCAGAGATGGCGCTGAGCTAATATGCAAGGCTGTCACACACCCACCTGATCTGTGACAAGGACTCCAGCTTCACACAGGGTCTTATGGTGGCAGTGAAGAGTGGGAAAGCCAGGTCCTTCCCATACCCTCCCACATGCCTCCCGCTCTCTTCATCACTCCCAGCCCCATGCACCCAGTTCTTGCAGTAACCCTGGTCTCAGCAGGGTTGGGCTCACTAAAAGCCCTGCTTTTCTGCTTCTGCTGCTGCAGGAGCCCCAGCAATGGGACGATTTTTCCCTCACAGCCTGTAGCAAAAGCTACTTTGGAAATACTGAACCCCTTTGCTGGTGCAGTACTGCCGTCCAGGCTTGGCTTCCCCTGGGCTTCTTCCAGATAGACTTTCATGTTCCTCTGTATAAACAAGCAAACAAACAAAAACAGAATCACAGAATCACAGAATGGCCAGGGTTGGAAGGGCCCTCAAGGATCATGAATCCAACCCCTGCCACACGCAGGGCCACCAACCTCCCCATTTAATACCACCCCAGGCTGCCCAGGGCCCCATCCAACCTGGCCTTGAACACCTCCAGGGATGGACGGGGCAACCACAGCCTCTCTGGGCAGCTGTTCCAGCACCTCACCGCTCTCTCCGTAAAGAACTTACAGAAGAAACCCTGCAGATATTTCTAACAGTGAAGTCCATAAAAATATCACAAAAAAATCATTTCTCTCCCCCTGCCCCTTTCCACCAGTCCAGTCAGGGAGTAGCAAGCTCTGTGACCACAGCCCTCAATGTCAGTCTGTGCTGGGGCTGATTTGTAACTGGGACTGTGACTCTGCAGACTGGCACAGATCCTGTGTGCTCCCTGGGCTGAACAAACCTAGTATGTACACTGTACCAGCTTAAACCAGGAGACGCCTAGGTGGGAAGGCACTTCTGTCTCCTGCAGCAGCTGCAGCCAGGGCCAAGCAGTGTACCCAGCTGGTACCTAGCACCAGCTATGTGCTGCTATGTGTTCCTGTGTCTGGCAATGTGGTCTGGGTGGGCTGACAGCTCCAGCACAGCCCCAGTGCTTTCTGCTCCCTGGGGACACCTCTGACACCCTCTCTCTCTGCTGGCAGGAGCCTGGACCGCCTGGACTCTGTCGAGATCCTCCTACCTCCAAAGTTCCCAACCTGGGAGGAAGAATACAACCAGATCTCCGACAGTGTCAATGACTCCAGTTGCATCAACCAGGTGAGGTGCTAAAGACTGAAGTCCCATTGCATACTCAGCTCAAAAGAATGGAGGCTGGTAGAGAGGATGGTCCCTTAAAAACAAGGCACTCTATCAGCAGATGTGCTGTTCTCTGGAAGCTTTACCAAAGGGTCAGAGCCAGCTTCTTTATTCACATTGGACTCCTTTTGTTCTAGCTTTTACCTCCTCTCAGCACTGCTGCTCACTGAAGCCATGGCCATGGGTATGGCAACCTGGAGCCCTGCATGCTTCAAAACTGTGGGCAGAGCTCAGGGCTGCTTTGTGTACAGACTCACACTGCACAGCACCCAGGAGCTGCCCGCAAGGCTGCCCACTCCTGCTGCAAGCTCCATGTGCTCACTGGGTGGGCACAGGGCCCAGGCCAGCCTCACTGCAGCAAAAGGTGGCACGTGGTCTGTGGCCAACTACCAGGGACCCTGCAGAGGGAGCAGCAGCCCTGCTATACTCTGAGTGCCCCATCCCTTGGGAAGTGGAAGGAGGTGCCTGTGATTCAAGAAGCTGACTCGCTAACCGGGGGTGTCTCCCTTGAGTATTCCTGGTCCTCATGCCTCCAGGAAGGACAGGCAGAGCCAAAGATGCCATGGAGGCACTGATGGTGGGTGGCAAACCCTGACCACAGCCTCTGGGCTTAAATCCCTCTCCTATACTATGCCTCCCTTTGGGATGCGCTGGAGGGGCCTGGGGCCTGTGTGGCTATAAGGCAGCTGCCTTGCAGGCCAGGAAATCACTCATACCACATGAGGCGCTTGCACAGGTCTCGTGTTCATCTCCACCCTAGGGTGGGACCCTTCCTTTTGGGATGCAAGTGAAAGTGCCTTGGACAGCTATGGCTCCATGAGCTTTGCCCAGTTGTGTCACTGCCACTCTGAGCTTCTGCCATGTCCTGTCTCTGTTCACGTGTGTCTGCGTGGGAACACGTGCACACACATGCCCTTTCTGTGCTGCTGCAGCTTGTCTCTCACACGCAGCTGGTGTTCACTGATCAAGGGAGGCAGAATGAGGCAGCAGTTAAGGAAGCAGGCTGGACACGGGGAAGCAGAGACTGAAGAGGAGGGCTGGAGGTGTGTGCTGGCACTCGCTCCAGGTGTGCAGGGCTCTGAGCCCACATTCACCCCTACCCAGCTGCTTTGGCCCCATAGCTGACTTATGCAGCTACTAGTGCAGAGGGCTGGAGCCATTTGTGAAGAGCTTTGGGGAAAGACGCAAAGCATTGCTCACGGGCATACATATTCCTTGTGGTCAGTCTTGTTTCTTGTACATAGACAATATACTGGGTGTTTATGAGCACAGAGAAAGAGGTCACGGCCACTGTATTCCTGTCCTTTGCAGGAAACCCGTGTCTGAATTCGGGCCTCTGCCAGGGGCTGGCTGAGTCTGTGCTCTCTTCCAGCACATATGTACCATTTAGCAGCTGAGAGCAGTACCCTAAAAAGGCATCTGAGGTGTCTCAAGAGGCTGGGCAGCATGCACTTTGCCAGGAGCTGCCCAATTGTGCCCTTTCCAGATCCAGACCCATAGAGGCATAAAGTAGCACCAGCTTGAGCCTGGGCCTGGTGTCACTGACTGCACTTTGCCTGCCTTCCTCCAAATCAACCAGTATCCAATTGCAGATGAATTGGGATCTAAAGTCCTCCCACAAACTGCATAACTGTTGATTCAGGGAGGAATTAGCAAAGACACCTCACGTGAAGCCCAAGCCTCTGGAAGGTCCAACCTGCCTTTTTGTATGTGCTGCAGGCAGCTCCTCCCCTGCCCTCATTTTGACCCCTCAACACCTCCCTTGTCAGACCTAGTGTGCAGAAGCATCTCCAGCTCTCAAAGTCCACTCCACTTGGTTTTCTGCTGGCTGAATTCCACCTTGAAAGCCTCTGGAAATTTGGGGTTCTTCAGAGCATCATTATCTACCTCTAACATGAGGAGACCAGTGGCTGCTGACCCCCAACTTTTCTGAAACACACTTCAAGCTGTGCCTTATACAGAAGGGTACATTTGGCACTTGAACCTGGATTTTTCCCAGAAGCGCTCATCTTGAGCAGCCTGTGCAAAAAAGAGCTCCTGGGGTGAATGTGCTCTATAGACTGGGGTTGTAGGGAGCTGTCAGGAGATAGGAAGGTGGGATTCCTCACAGAGGCAGCGCATGATTTGTCAGGTGTCTGTCCTGATGCCAAGTATTATATATCATGGCTTATGCATGGAAAGAAGAGAGCATGGATTCTATGGGGCTTCTTCCTGCTGCAGGGAGAGAGGAGTCAGCAGCAAGGGGGCCAGCCTGACCCCAGGCAGGGCAAAGTACAGTTTCCCCGACATAGAGCCTGCCACCCATCCAGCTCTGCAGCTGCAGGGCTGTCGTTGCTCCAGGCCACACCATGAGGTTCTGGGGCTTCATGAGGTACAAACCAGGAGCCACAGCGGCCCGGTCCCACAGCCAGTGAGTGCCTGGGGCACCCCAGCACTGTGTTCCTGCTGTCAATGTCCAAGCGTGCCCTGTGTATATTAATATACAATGCATACAACAGGTTAAGTGCATCAGCAGCTTTTCTCTGTTTCAGAGGCGTCCCGTGGAGCTTTGCCGTGCCATGTTTGTGCCACTGTCAAAGGGGCAGCATTTTGCTTGGCATCTTATGGGCTCTGAAGTTTGTACCAAAGTGTCTGCAGTGCAGGCCCCAAGGAAAGGGCCATCTACTCCCCTCGTCTGTGGTCCCTGTGCAATGGCTGTCTGTGTGAGGGCTACCCCTTTCTGGGCTTTTAACCTTCTTCAACTCTTTCTTCCAGATCTTTGGACCCCCCTCACTTATCCCTCAGATATTTACCCATGGAGAGCAGGTACCGTCCCACTGGCGTTCCCTCTTCCTTCTCCATGGAGCTTTCTGGGGTCTCCCTGGACCCCCACGGCAGGGTGTGAGGCAGCTGTGGGGTACCCTCACCCAAGGCCAGGGGATGAGGAGGACGATGCGTTGCCCAGCCCAGGGCACCGCAGCACACCTGGGCAGTTTGATTTCTCCAGGCTAAGCAGAGGGTTTAGAGGTGTTCCAGGGGGAAGTGAAGAGCTTTTTCAGCCAAACCCTGTGGAGCCCAGAAAAGGCTACAGATGCCAGCAGCAGGCATAAATAGTGTCCTTGAAGCCAAAATAAGGGCCCGGAGAGGTGGAAGTGGGCAACAGAGCCATCGCCAGTGTCCCTCATCATCAGTATTTCAAAATGCTTGTTGTTTCAGGCTGGCTTCGTTTTAACCCAGGTGAACGTCCTGAGCTGAAACTCAATTAACTGCGGGCCCCAGAGGACAGGGAAGGGCCAGGGAAGGCAGAGGCAGAAGAGAGCAGGGAGCAGGCAGTGGAGCTGCCCCTGCTCAGGCCATGCCGGGCCTCAGCCCACACAGCAGGCCCTCTCTTCTCACACTCAAAACAGGGCTGCAGCAACATCGTGCCCAGCACAGGGCCAGCCAGCCTGGCACAAGGCATGGAGACACATCCCCAGTCCTGTGCCCCACTGCAGGGTTGGGACAGCACCCCACTGGGGAGCACACCTGCCACAGTAGGGTCTCACAGCTGAGCTTGTGGTCCTCCGGACATGGCAGCGGAAAACCGAGTTGTTCGTGGCTGGGAAGGGATTTTGTCCTCCTGTACTCCCAGCCTTTCCATCAGAAACAGGGTAGTGCTTTGCAGCACTATGGTGGTAAGTGTCTCTGCTCCCACAGGGACCCTCTGACGTGGAAGGAGAGTCCCCTCTTCCCTCGCCCAGGACCTGTGCCAGCCAGCACTGCTCCTCTTGCTCTGCTTGTGTCTGATCAAAACCTCTTGGGAGCCACAGCACGGAGGGGAGCGGAGAAGGCTGCAGGAGGGAGGGGAAGGGGCTCAGCCCTGGGCAGGGGGTGATTGCTCTATCCCTCTTCTCATGCAGGCGAGAGAGCCGGAGCTGGGGGAGCAGTACGAGGCGGTCTGTGACTCTACCTACAGCGAGGCCGAGTCAGCGGCCGCCGAGGTGCTGGACCTGCCCCTGCCCAGTTACTTCCGCTCCCGGAGCCACAGCTACCTCCGAGCCATCCAAGCGGGCTGCTCCCAGGATGAGGACACCAGCTCTGTCCGCTCCATCTCCCCCCCGCCAGCAGGCAGCCTCAGCGGCAGCAGGACCCTGCCCACCAACAGTGAGTGCCAGCGCAGCCATTGCGGGAATAGGGCTGTGAGTGCCTGGGGGTGCGCGGAGTGCAGGCAGTTGCCCTCAGACATCTCGTGGGGTATCTCTTGAAGGTTTCTGTGGGGGAGCGTCTCTGACCTTGCTCTGGTCGGTGGGCAAGGATGCTGCCAGGATGGCTGAGTTGAAGTCTCTGGATATGGGTGCTGAAACAGCTGATGGGCTCTGGTTGCAGATTTAGTGCAGGCTGCAGAGGTCAGGGAGAATTCAGCAGCTTTGCTCAGGGAAGACAAATCTGGCTGGGAGTGATGAAGCAGGATGCCTGCCTTGCCCTCCTGCAGGGTGGAGCACTGGCTGAAGTACTGAAGGACTGCACATGCAGCAGGAAGCTTCAGCAGAGGGTCTCTGCTGCTGATAGCTTTCATCTTCCTCATGCTCTCCACTTTGTGTCTCATTATCATTCCTCCAGTCTGGGCTTTGACCTCACTCTGAAACTCTTGGGAGCAGAAGTGTATGTCAGGAACTTGGCATTCATTTCCACAGGGTCTCAGCATACCTTGGTCACTTCAGCTGTTTCAGTCAGAGGCAGAAATTGGGACTGGCAGATGGAGGACAGAAGGCATCTGCCTTCATCCCTTAGTGATAGAGGAGTGACAACGTTTTGGAGTTTGCTATTGTCAATGGTTTGCGGGCTGGTTTGGCCCGGTTCCGTGACGAGCAGGGCGGAGGGATCCGCAGATCCGCGCCTCCGGAAAAAAGGAAACAGGGGAACCCAAAATAATTAAAACAGCGGCACCGATCTGAGGAGAAACAAACTAATTTACTAAATATATTATCGGAATGCAAGATAACACGCTATAATACGATATAGTCAGAATTGAAGCTAATAAATCAAATATAATGAGAGAGAGAATGTCCAAAAGGTGGATAGGCCTCAGCACAATGCTGAGGTGAGATGCGCAGTGCAGTTAAGCAGCAGGGAGACGGGAGCAGCGCCCACGACGAAGGGCAGGCGAGAAAGAGCATCAGGAGACCTTGCCAGGAGTTCACCCTCCTCTCCCTGAGCGCAAGGTCCCCTGGGGAATGCAGTTCTTCTTCTCTTCAGGGCAGGTACCCAGGACTTGAGCATTAACAGTTAAAGTCCCAGTGCCCCACATGATGTTATGATGTGGAATACCGAAAGCCAAAAATCACAAAACCATGACAGCTATGAACTCCTTTAGAATAGAATCAACCTAGAATCATCTAGGTTGGAAAAGACCCATTAGATCATCAAGTCCAAACATGACCCAATGCTATCAAGTCCACCACTAGACCGCGTGCCCAAGTACCACATCCACACATCTTTCAAATATCTCCAGGGGTGGTGACTCTACCACTTCTGTGGACAGTTTGTTCCAATGCCCAACCAGTCTTTCCATGAAGAGACTCTTCCTAACCTCTAACCTAAACCTCTCCTGACACACTTGAGGCTATTTGTTCATATCCTCCAACATTACTTATCAATTGAGAAAAGAGACTGACATGTACCTCACTGAAACCTCCTTTCAGGTAGCTGTAGAGAATAATGAAATCATAGAATTAAAGAATAGCTTAGTTTGGAAAGGACCTTGAAGATCATCTACTTCCAACCTATCTGCCATGGGCAGGGTTGCCAAGCACTAAATCAGGCACTAGATCAGCTTGCACATGGCCCCATCCAGCCTCACATATAGCACTTCCAGGGACATCCACAGCTTTTCTGGGCAGTCTGTTGGCCTTATGAGCTGCAAACACACACCGCTGGCTCATGTCCATCATGTCCACTGCTGGCTTTTCCTCCATCAGGACCCTCCAGTCCTTCTCCGCAGGACTGCTCTCAAGCAGTTCTTCTCCCAGTCTGTACATATATCTGGGATTGCCCTGGCCCAAGTGCAACACCCTGCACTTAGCCCTGTTGAATCTCATTAGGTAGTTTCCTGGGTCTTCTTTTCTCCTCTTCTTAAAAATGGGAGTGATGTTTCCCTTCTTCCAGTCTTGGAGACTTCACCTGAGAGCTATATTTCCAAATATGATGGAAGTCTCCCCTCAGCCTCTTTTTCCTAAGACTAAACAACCCCAATTGCCCTAGCCACTCCTCACAAGTTTTCTTTGCACATTCTCACATAGAGTATACTCCAAAAATAGGTCTGGACGAAAGTGTGTATTTTGCAACTTTGCCCCACTCAGACTATCATGGACTGTGATTTTGCCCAGCAGTCACAGACAGGAAGGACAGAACCTTCCCATGCAGCCCCAGCACTGCTCTGTGCTGTAGCCAGGGAAGAAGACATAGAATCATAGAATCATTTGAGTTGGAAGAGACCCTTAAAGGTGATCTACTCCAACTGCCCTTTAATGAACAGGGACACCTACAGCTCCATCAGATGCTCTGAGTCTGACTATGAGTGTCTCTGGGAATGAGGCATGCACCACTCCTCTGGGCAGCCTGTGCCAGTGTCTCACTGCTCTTACTGTAAAAATCTTCTTCCTTATATCCAATCTAAATCTCCTCTCTTTTAGTTTGAAACCATTTCCACCTTTCCTATCACAACAGACCCTGCTAATGAGCTTGTCCCCTTCTTTCTCATACTTGCCTTTTAGATACTGCAAGGACAATCTCAGCCCTCCCCAGAGTCCTCTCTTCCCCAGGCTGCACAGCCCCAGCCCTCTCAGCCCGTCCTCACAGGGGAGGAGTTCCATCACTTAGATCACTGGGCTGTTGCTGGCATTGTACTGCCTGGAGGTGGGTCTTTCAAAACCTTCATACAAGGAGGTGCTGGGAATTTATCCTTTGGCTGGACTGGCTCCAATTGCCTTATCTCCTGGAGACACACTGAATGGCAGCAGCCATATAGTTATTTAGTCCTATGTGCCCCTTGCCCATCAAATGTACTTACCTAGACACCCCAGTCAGCATCTCTGGTGGGAAGTACAAACATATCTGCTCTGAATTTCATAGCAGTAAGGAGCATTTTTGAGTCCAGTGCCCAGCAACCTGCAACCTCAGTGTGCTCTTATTCCTGAATGACTGTGCTATACACAGTTCCAGATGCCTCTGCTAGCATTATTCTTTCCAGACAGGTCCCACTCTTTAATTAGTAATTACTATAATGGACAAAAGCCTGGCCTCTCATTTGGAGGAGATGCCACAGTAACTCCATCCCCTGGGGCGGGGGAGAGGCTGGAGCAGCCCTGGTCATAGAATTTGCCTGGGTTGCAAAGGATCACAACACTCATCCAGTTCCAGCCCCCTGCTGTGTGCAGGTCGCCAACCAGCAGACCAGGCTGCCCAGAGCCACATCCAGCCTGGCCTCGAATGCCTGCAGGGATGGGGCATCCACAGCCTCCTTGGGCAACCTGTGCCAGTGCCTCACCACCATCAGAGTGAGAGACTTCTTCCTAATATCCAACCTAAACTCCCTTGTCTCACTTTAAATCCATTTCCCCTTGTCCCATCACCATCCACCCTCGTAAACAGCCATTCCCCCTCCTGTTCATCTGCTCCCTTCAAGCACTGGAAGGCCACCATGAGGTCCCCCTGCAGCCTTCTCTTCTCCGAGCTCAACAAGCCCAGTTCCCTCAACCTTTCCTCACAGCAGAGCTGCTCCAGCCCTCTGCTCATCTCAGTGCCTCCTCTGGACCCGCTCCCAGAGCTCCACATCCTTCCTGTGCTGGGGGCCCCAGGCCTGGACGCAGTGCTGCAGATGGGGCTCACAAGAGCCGAGCAGAGGGGGACGATCACCTCCCTCTCCTGCTGGCTGCCCCTTTTTCATGCAGTCCAGAACACAGCTGGCCTTCTGGGCTGCAGGCGCACACTGCTGCCTCATGTCCAGCTTCTCATCTAACAGGACCCCAAGTCCTTCTGCGCAGGGCTGCTTTCAGGTCCTTTCCTCAGTCTATATAAATACCTGGGATTGCCCTGACCCAAGTGCAGCACCTTGCACTTGGCCTTGCTGAACTTCATTAAGTTCTCATGGGCCCACTTCTCCAGCTTCTCCAGGTCCCTCTGGATGCCTTCCTCTCCTTCCAGCTGTTCCTGACTAGCGGTGTCACCTCTCCCAGCACTGCAGCACTTTGTCGAGCAGTTCCAGGAGCTGACTCCCCACACTGTGCCCCGAGCACCACCTCTGGAGTGAGGCAGCCACTTTGCCAGGGCACTGGGCTTGCCAGCCTGACCCAGAAAGGAATACTGGGAGCAGCTCAGACCCAGTAGCACTGGGTATCACAAAAGCCTTGGAGGGCACAGATTAAAGCAAGTACTGGCTCCCTGCTGCAAGACCAGCACAGCCTGGCCCAGGGACACATTGGTGGCTGCGTTAACCTCATGCAGCCTGCAGCAGCAGTTTAAATTCACTTACCAGTGGTCCACTCTTCTCCTGCAAAAGGTGAGTGGGTTCTGAAACCGAGGAAGTTCCATACTAACACAAGGAAGAACTTCTTTGCTGTCAGAGTGGTGGAACACTGGAACAGGCTGTCCAGACAGGCTGTGGAGTTTCCTTCTTTGGAGATACTCAGGACACACCTGTACTCTTTTCTGTGCAACCTGTGGTGTGGAATTCACTTTAGCAGGAGGGTTGGACTTGACAGTCTTTAGAGGTCCCTTCCAACCCCTACAATTCTGTGATTCTGTATGTGATAGTGAGGGACAGGAAGGGCCACTGCTCTGGAAACAGTGCTTCTGTTAATGGCTCCCAAAGGCAGAGCCAGCAGGTATCATGGCATGAAGCTGCAGGGCAAGGGCAGCTCTGTTCTCACTGCAGCCTTTCAGCTGGCTTGCCATGTCCCTCTGAGCTCCTTTCTGGGTGTCAGTGCCTCAGCTCAGAGGTGAGGATTGTCCACAACAGTGAAGCTGAGGGCTCCCATCTTGCCCACCCAACACACCTGCTGCATCCTTTCTGTTGTGTCACCTGTCTGGGACTACAGCAGTAGCTCACTGTCCTCAGCCAGGCTGCTAAGGACGTTTGGTTTCAGGCTGTAGATCCAGCTTGTTGCTTTGGCTAGAGCCAAGAGCTCTGTGGTGGGCTGAAAGGAGGCTGCGTAACTCTTGGAAAACATTTTGGGAACACAGGTTAGAAAAGGTGATGCCTTTGATATGGGGATTCCAGGCACATCCTGGAGAAGGCAGGAGGAGCAGGTGCCAATGTCCCACCAGGGCTGCGCCATGCTGCTGGAGACACAAGGCAAATAGCAAGCGGTCACCCACAGGGACACCCAGACAGG